TTCTTGTTGATGGAGGAGGGCCCGGCCCAGTATGGGTGGTGCCATCCCTGGACAGGAGGGGCGGGCTGAGCAGGACACAAGCTACAAAGCAGCCATTCCTTCAGCGTCTGTTTCAGTTCCTCCACCAAGCTCCTGCCTTGGATTGTGACCTGGGAGTTGTAAGATGAAATAAACTCTTTCCTCCCCAAGTTGCTTTTTGTCATGATGTTTATCACAGCAAAAGAAAGCAAACTAGGACACCACTGTTAGGTCTCATCTACATGAGGCTAGACAGTTGGGATCTGTGACCCAAGGCAGGGTCATAACACAGTGGAAGACACATGGGCTTCAAATCCATGTACTGACCCCTGGATCCTAGACAAGTTCCCTGACCTTCCTGCCAAAGGGATGCAGCAGTCTATCACTCTTGCCCTTGCACAATTGCCAGCAGAGAGACCTCAGATACTTTCTAGTTAACCCAAAAAAGCATTGCAGCTGCCATTTGGAGAAACAGTGCGTCATAAATGCTCATAAAGAATTGTTCCATAAAGACTCATAGGTCCGATCACTTCAACTTTAACTTCAGTGATACTTCCTTTGGGGAGAAAAACTTTCTTCCAAGCTGACTTTAATTCCCATTCTGTGTGTAGCTGGTGACCACTTTCTAAATGCCTGTGCTCAAGGTCATCACAGGGACTTCTGACAGACTCCTTGCTCTATGTCCTCCATTCCCTGACCAGTGTCCCTCCAGTGACTTTATCAGGAGGGCGTAAGGAAACTCAACTTCAACGCTTGTTCTTGGAGGATCAATTGTGGCCTCTGATAGACCAAGTAGTGCACTGGAGACTTTGTTGCTATGATATCTCCATTTGAGTGACGTTTTCACACTCAGGCAGGCCTGCTTTTCCTAAGTGGTAACAGACTAAAATGCTGGATGTCTTCAGATTCACAACTTGGAAGGGTAGCTCAGTTGTAGATGCTTACCTAGCTTGTGAGGTCCTAGGTTGGAGACCCAGTATCACAAAAATATATTTTTAAAATTTTATTTTTATTTTATGTGTATGTATGTATTGCCTGCATGTATGTAAGTGCACCAGTGTCGTGAAATGCCCATAGAGGACAGAAGAGGCTGTCGGACCCCCTGGAACTGGAGTTACAGACAGTTGTTAGCTGTCATGTGGGAGCTGGGATTCAAACCCAGGTCTTCTGGAAGAATAGTCAGTGTTCTTAACTGCTGAGCCATCTCTCCAGCCCCATGAAAATTTAAAATATATATATGATATATATCATACATATGGCTCCATTTGGCAACAATTTCAAACATAAAAATTTTAAATAAAGTTTAATCATTAAGCATTTTTCACATACTATCCCAAAGTTTTAATCAAAAGTCTTAAAGCTATGGTGCTAAAGAGATGGCTCAGCAATTAAGAGCACTGGTTGCTCTTGCAGAGGACCCAGGTTCAGATCCCATCAATCAAATGGTGGCTAACAATTGTCTATAACTCCAGTTCCAGGGGATCTGAGGGTCTCTTCTGGTCTCCATGTGCACTGCATGCGTGTGGTACTCTTATATACATGCAAGCAACCACTCATACACACAAAAATATTTTTTTAATGTAAGTCCTAAGGCTATGTGAATGGATACTATGTAAGAAGTACCAAATTCCATCCCATCTCACACCACTTTTGTTAAAGGCTAAACTGTACTATTTTCCATCTCCTTTGGTCAAAACGGTGATGGGCCCAGGACATAATGAAAGCCCTTTCCTAAAGCAACAAAGTTTGTAAGGCATTGGATTCAGAAGAAAGTGAATCCACTTACCATTCACACAGTGGCTCCAACCAATCACACAGCATAACACCTACAAGACAAAATAGCTACTAGCTGAACATCAATAAGATGCCAGACATTTTAACATGACAGCTAACTTTACCCGAAGCTACTCTGTTATTACACACATTTTAAAGACAGGTGTGGTAGAATACCTGTCCAATGTGTGAGAGGTTCTGGGTTCAATCCTTTGATCCCTAGTACTACAAAACAAAATTAAAACTTTTTTAAAAGGGACAGCAAAATCATAAAGCTGAAGTAACTTGGCCAGATTCTCTCAGAGGAACCTGAACCTAGGTCTATCCATCTCTTCCTACTCACCTGGCCACTCTACCTGCCAGGGCCTGATATTCTTGCCTCCCTTTCTCCTCCAGTCCTCTCTCACACTCTGCCTGACCATCTTAACCAAAGGACATGGCCACCTTGGATGTGCTCCAGGCTGCAGCACCCTTCCTCACATGGCCTCTGCCCAACATTCAAACCCACTGTGTTAAAGACTTGCACCGAGGCCTCCTCCTCTACACTCGCTCCTGTCAGGGCTGCCTCAGCTGGACTGCAATTTTGCCCTTCACCCTCCAACAGCAAACTCCAGGCCAGATTTATCCAGCCAACTGATGTCCAGCCCTTAGCTGACCCTCAGAGGCCTTCCAGCTTTGTTCTAGAAAATTCACTCAAGCCAGGCATGGTGGCACATGCCTTTAATCCCAGTGCTCAGAAGGCAGAGTCAGGTAAATCTCTGTGAGTTCCAGGAGAGCTAGGGCTACTGAGAGACCCTGTCTCAAAAAGACAAAAAAGAAAAAGAAAATTCACTTGAAGCATGGGAAACCCCAGGTCTAGGGACATACTGTCATTTTCCCAGGATGGTCTTGACTTTGAAACTTAAGTCCTCCAGAATTTCACACCCTAGGCAGAGATGAGTTCAGTTTTTCAGCAGTATGCAAAAGCTGCCAAAAGGGGGTACTCTTCCCTCCTGGACTACTGTTAGCAGTAAGAGTTCCACTGTGACAGGTAGTATGAATCACTTTACCCAAACAGAGAAGAAAAAAATCCATATAGATGAGGAAGGAGTCAATTACACATTTAGATGAAGTTCAAGGGCCAGGCATGATAGCACATACCTTTCTTTAATGCCAGCACTTGGGAGGCAGAAGCAGACAGATCTGATATGGAGACCAACCTGGTCTACATAGGGAGTTTCAGGCCAGCTGGGACTACAGGGAAGACCCTGTCTAAAAAACAAACAAAAAAGTTCAAACCTTTAACCACAGGAATTGCAAAACAAGAAAAATGTTTACTCCAAGTAACACAAACACCACTGAATTCTTGAAATAGAAGTGGCAAGATTCTTCACAACTGAAAAGACCATTCTTTACAGGTCTGTTGACAGGCTGTTCGGGGAACTAGAGGAGCTGGAGGAAACATTACAAGCCCCAACACTGGGATCACCTAACTGATCAGGACCTGCAGACAAGGCATCCTGACCTGTGCAATGGAAATGGTCATTTGTATACCAAGAGATCCCTACAGGAAGATCCATATGGCCCTTCAACAAGCCTGGATCTGCATAGGATGTTGACAGTCACATGAAGAGTTATAATCCCTGAGATAGTAAAACCGTGAAAATACCCTCCTCAGAAGGCTATAACAAAAACTGGTTAACAGCTAACAGAAGGTGCTCCTTATGGTACTAGACACATAGGGAAGACCACAACTAAAATGTCCACTTACGGAAGCTGGGATATACCTGTAACCCAGCACTCAGAAGACTGAAGCACGATTGCTTTGACCACAAGGTCACTCTGGTAAGCACTAGGTCAGGCAGGGTTATACTGCAAGATCTATCTCAAAAAAAAAAAAAAAAAAAAAAAAAAATTAGAAAAACCAAAAACTTATCGAGTGCTTATGATCCAAAATGGTGGTTGGTATTGTAGCTTCTATATAGAAATTTCAACAGCCAGAGAAGTTTTTGGGAATTTGTTCTTTACTTCCACTATGTGGGTCCCGGGAATAAAATTCAGGCGATCAGGCTTGGAAGTTAGCATCTTTACCCACTGAGCCATCTCACCAGCCCAGCCAGAAGTTTTTCTTAATAAGAAGTTGGGCATGGTGGTACCAGCATTCACGAAACCAAGGCAAAAGGATTGTGAGTTTGAGGATACCCTGGCCTACATACCAAGTTCCAGGCTAGCCTGAGCAACATAATGACAATGTGTCCAAAATAAGTATTAGCAAACTGACTGTCTTCAGGAGCTCAAAGTCAAAATTTTAGTTAAGTCATCTATGCAGGTCCTTATTCTTCAGATATTTCTACTTAATTTCCCTAAACCTGACTTTTTGTTCCAATTTATATTTGTCTCAACCTGATTAGGTTTTTTTTTTTTTTTTTTTTTTTGGTCTTTTTGAGACAGGGTCTCCCTGCAGGCCCAGCTGGCCTGGAACTTACTATGTAGACCAGGCTGGAACTCATCAAGAGATCCACCTGCCTCTGCTTCCCAAGTGCTGGGATTAAAGGTGTGTACTACCAATGCCCAGCTTCATCCTGACTTTGTATTTATTTCTATTGTATAACTTTTCTCGTGTTTGTCCCAATTTGTTATATGCAAATCCATGAAATGAAACCAGGTGTGCATACCCATTAACAAATGGCTTTTAAGGACTATGTAGCCCATGCACTGTAAGCTTTCTCTGGCATTTAACAGTTCTGGGTTAATCAGAATTATAATTTTAATCTCTACTTCTCAGATTAAAAAAACAAAAAAATACTGGCGGGACATGGTGTCACAGGCCTTTAATCCCAGCACTCAGGAGGCAGAGGCAGGCAGATCTCTGTGAGTTCAAGGCCAGCCTGGTCTACATAGTGAGTTCTAGGACAGCTGGGGCTACAGGGAGACCTGTCTCAAAAACAAAACAAAACTGTAGTATCTCCCTGTAATCCTGTAATAATAGCAACATCAGGGCTAGAAAGATGGCTCAGCACTGGGCTCCTCTTGTAGAAGACCTGGGTTTGGTTTCCAGCACTCACATGGTGGCTCACAACCATAGGTAACTCCAGTTCCAGGGGATCCAATGCCCTCTTCTGACTTCCATGGGTATTGCATGACATGGGCACACTTACATACATGCAGGCAATACACTCATACACAAAAAATAATAAATTTTTTAAAATAGCAATTTTAAGCTTCAGAAGTCTCATAATAAAAAAGCCAGTTTTATTATATGTTCAGTTCTCAAAATTCTATATATATAAATGTTCTTCATGACTTAAAAAAAAAAAGCCCTCCATCCCTATCTACCCTCCCAAGGTATTGGGCAAGCATCATCGTTTGCAATAAATTGTACCACATATCTAAAATCCAGAAAACAAGTGGCTCCCAGAGGACGTGCTATGCCGTAGTCATGACCCATACTTGCAGAGTCCTCATTAGTAAACCGAACTGGTCACTGGATGACGGGACACAGACATACACACACCAAAAACAAAAACCATGAAGGAGGCTGGGGATGTAGCTCAGAGGTAGAGCACTTGCTTACCATGTACAAGGTGGGTTCAATCCCCAGCACCACAATGGGGGATAAGGGGTGGGCAGCCTGACCAAAGACTTTTGAAATTTATACAATTTTATAAAATTTAGGGTGCCCACAAAGTCCAAGAGACTAGACCAAACTGTCCAAAGCAAGGGCTCTGCCAGGCCTCCTCCTCATGTCAAGACCCCCTCTCAGGAGTCATTGGGCAATCCAAACAGCTTCACAGTTCCAGCTTCCCGACTGCTGTCATATTTTCCATCTTTGTCATCACAGGCAAATGCCAGCAAAGGCCTTTTGGGGTGCCAAGCCACGGTGAAGGTCGGGGACTCACACTGCACTTCCCATAGCTTGTCTCCTATAGAGATCAATATGAAGAATGTTAATACGTAGCACATGCACTAAACACTCACAGGAAACACAAAGGCATAGAGAGGTCAGGCACGAGCAGGTGGCACAGTAGGGTCTGAATGCCGGCAGGTTAACCTCAGGGCCTATACTCCATGGAAAAACAATTAACAGCTAGCATTTGCTCAGTACCCTTAAGTATGTGGCTTATCCTTTACTGAATGCCAATGATAGCCCAGTACGGCAGAGAATTTTTTGAGAAAGAGAAAGCTAGTGTCTTAATAAAGTGGCACCCACAGCAGACAGTAAATGAAGTCAGTTTGTCTCCAAAGAAACAGACCTACTAAATCACAAAGCCTTGCAAGTAATTTTTTCCCAAAAGTTTACTTTTCTAATTTGTCGAAAATATGCAGTTTTCCCAAAGCTGCTATTCCTTTAGCTCTGCTCAATTATTTTCTTCATGTTGTATTAAGACTTAGTGTGGTACTAATATAAACATGCAGGACTGCAGGCTACACAAATGCTGTACATCTAACTGGCTGACTATATGGTGTGCAAATTATATCACAATACTATTAAAATGTATACATGAATATGTATACGTGTGTGTGTGTGTGTGTGTGAGTGAAATGCTTAATTAACTCTATTCCAGGGACTGAATGAAAGAAGTGGAGGTAAGCACTAGCAAGGGTCTTATTCATTGCTCTCTCCTTGATGTAACTTGGATGTAATGTGACCAGATCCCTCAGGCTCCACCATGATGAACTGTAACCTGCAACTGTGAGTCCAAAAAGCCCTCTCTCCCTTAAGGTGATTTGTAAGGGCATTTTATCACAAGAACAGGAAAACAAACTGAGACATAAACTGGAGATGATTAAGCAGAACTTGTTAGACAAATATTGCATGTTTTCTCTGATTTGTGAGCCCTATATTTTATACATAAAATCATCTGTGTGCAGATGACATCAAAGTAGAAGCAAAACTGTCTGGGGAACACAGGAAACTAATGGCAGGTGCCAGAAAGGAGCATGGGGGTGTTGGGAGCGCATATGCTCCAAGTACATTATATACTTGTGTGAAAATGACCTTACAGGACCCAGCATAATAATTTTTTTTTTTTTTTTTAATTTAAAGAGAATCACTGGGGCTGGATCAGTGGTTAAGAACACTGAATGTTCTTGCAGAAGACCCAGGTTCAAATCCCAGCACCCACATGGCAGCTAATAACTCCAGTTCCAGGGGATCTGACAGCTTCTTCTGTCCTCCATGGGCATTGCACAACATGGGTACACTTACCTACATGCAGGCATAACACTCATACACGTAAAATAAAAATAATAATTTTTTTTTTAAAAAAGAGCATCACTAAGAATAAGAGCAATAAAGTATATTTAAAAATAAATCTAAGGAAATTCTTTCTTCAATGAATATTGTCCTCCCATTTTTCTATTTTCAACATTTCTTTTGTCGTTTTTAAAGCAAAGCTTTTTATAATTCCCTAAGTTATCCCACATTTATTCTATTATTGGAGGAGGGGTAATTCACACCATAGTGCTTTTCCCCACAGAGCCATCACACCAACCCCAGTTATTTAGAAGTTTATGCATAAACAAGGCAGAACCATCACAGTATCTTCTCAGTTTTATTTTGTCTTGTTTGTAGGTGATACTCTTTTGTTCCTCTTCTCTATCCTTAAAATACTTTTTAGCTGGGTATGGTGGTATTTGCCTTCAATCCCAGGACTCAGAAGGCAGAGGCAAGAAGATCTCTGAATTTGAAGCCAGCCTGGTCTACATAGTGTTCCAGGACAGACAGGGCTACATAGTGAGACCATGTCTCGAACATACTTTTTACAGTGGAAGAATTAAAGGTTAATAAAATGCAAAGTATTTTCCTACATCACTTTCCTTCAAACCTACCATTTTTTTCTGTCCCTTTGTGCCATCATTACCTGAAACTAACAGTCATAATATAATCAAACTTGTCTCAGTGAAACAAACCCTTTTCTGGTAATGCTGATGCAATAGCAGTGTGCAGAGCTGAAAACACTGGACAAAAGGCCTGAGGCCAAGCATCAAAGACAGAAGATTCACATTAACTTACCTGTCTCTACTTCAGCTATGTCAATAAAATGATCCTCTGATGCCGATGCAAGCATTTTTCCATCATGGCTGAAACTGAGGGTCCTCACAGGCCAATCCAGTCTACCATAGAGGATACAGAAACATCAAAATTACCCAAGATGAAATAAAGCTAATTTATCCAACAAGGGAAGTGCTGGCAGCCTCTTACCTGGAAAAGCAGCGCACACACACTAACTCATCCACATCCCAGAGGCTGACCAAAGCATCTGCACTGCCTGTGGCAAAGTACTTCCCCATGGGGTCAAACTTGATACAGATGCAGTTAGAAGGATGGGCGTTGATGGACTGCACAGGCTTCAGTTCAGGATAGCTGAGAAACAAGACAGACAGCCATCAATACGAAGGACTGTGGTGCTGAAACACTGAAGGAAAGTAAACAATAATAGAAAAACTAATTCAAGAAGCTTCCCTGAAATTAATTTTTTTTCCTCAAGTTGTTACCAAAAAAAGTAAACACATGCCTAAGAACATGACTCTAAATCCTTTAACACTAAGACAAATGAGTTAAGTTACTGAACTTTACAGAAAATTACATTATCACATTCTGACAAGCACTACTTTATGCCAAAAGAAAAGCAAGAAATTAATCAAGGATTTTTACACCTAGCAAAACTATCAGACACAAAGAACACAAATAAGCACGCTAATGTACCTACAAGTTTTCTAAGTATGCAACTCCTTCAATCTCCACAGCCAACACGAGATTTTTTTTTCATTTATTTATTATTTTTTTATGTGTATGAGTATATTGCCTGCATGTATGTGAGTGCACCCGTGTTGTGCAATGCCACAGAGGTCAGAAGAGGGCATTGGATTCCCCTGGGACTGGAGTTAAGGACGGTTTGTAGCCACCATGTGGGTGCTGGGACTCAAACCCGGGTCCTCTGCAAGAGTAGTCAATGTTCTTAACTGCTGAGCCATCTCTCCAGCCCCATTATGGTATGTTTTTAACAAGATTCCACAGCACACTCTTGACTATCATCTCTACAACAGAGCTTATGTCCCTCTACTTTGCATTACTCACTGGCAGTGTAATAAGAACAGTGTGGGGTGGAGAGATGGCTTAGTGGTTAAGACACTTAGTGTTCTCCCAGCGGACCCAGGTTTGATACCCAACCCTCATGTGGTAGCTAACAACTGTCCATAACTCCAATTCCAGGGGATCTCTTCTGACCTCCGCAGGTATTGCATAATATGGGGCACCTACCTACAATCATGCAATACACTCATACACATAAAATAAAAATAATAAAATATTTTTTTAAAAATAAGACTCTTATGGCTATGAATTTTAGCTCCACATTTTCATTTATTTAGAGAACAAATATGTACTAAGATCCTGATATTCTAACAGTAGGATAGGCATTACCAATTTGATAGAAAACAAAACAAATCACAGTCCCTTCCATCATGGAGTTTGTAATGGGAAATAGAGACAAATAAAATACACATTATGACACAGGATTGAGAAATGCTTCTTATAGCTAGTATACACTATATACTAACTAGTATAGTATACACTTACAGCATATACTATAGACTATAACCCTCTTTTAAGCCTGGAGGGAAAGTGATACTTAAGCTGCAGCTTCAAGGATGTGAGCTAGCCACAATTCCATGTACACAAAGTCCTTGGGCCCACTAGTTGATAATTAGCTGAGCCTTTCTGAACCTCAGTTCCTTGTCAGTCAAATAGAAGGATACAATCAACCCCCTGGCATTTCAGTGAGAACTCAGTAAAATCTAAAGTACCTCACTCAAATGTGCCTACAAGAAGCTAGGATTGTTTTTATTACTATTTCTCTTTCAAGCCCTTCAGGATAAGTTCACACCTAACTCATTCTGTATTTGACACAGCAGCACCCTGTGCAAAGACATGATCCCAGAAGGCAGAAGATCCTCACCTGAGAATGTTGATACAGCCATTGCCATTGGTCAGGAAGAACATGTTATTATCATTGTTCCAGGAGATTTCGTTGACCTCAAACTTGAACTGCTCCTCTGCCTTGGAACGGTGTGTCTTGGCATCAATAAAGGTCACAACATCGTCCTTGTTGCCCACAGCAATGGTCTGCCCATCAGGACTCCAACAGATATTAATGTTCTCCCCTGGGAACCCAGATATAATCAGCAAGGTCATGTCCGCCCATCATCCTCCAGAAGTTTATTTTGCTATCCTAGAAAGACCAGGAGACAGCCTGAGAGGGCAGGTTCCAACTTCCATCTGTGTACTGTGGTCTCAACAGAGAGTGCCTGTTTCTTGCCTCCCTCTGGCATAGGGGCTGAGAACCCAGGGGGACTGCCTGAGAGAGCTCGGATCCTGCCTCCATATGATGAAGCCTTTGAGAGGAACTGACACGAATTCTAACCACTCCAACTGCTATCAAAATGTCTGAAAGAATCCTGAATCCATCACTCTAGAGTCCAGCCTTGGCAGACAAAAGAAAAATGAGGAGGAACCCAATAGAGGGATGCTTTTGGAAGCTCTTGCCAAGAAATTGCAATGGACTCTCATATGAACATTTGAAATTTGCCCTATTCTGACTTTTTTCTAGTTCCCTGTCTGGAACTTATAATGCTAATTACTCCTGCCTTTACTTCTCCTTCACATCTCCTATTCACCAGTCAAGGACTTTCTTTTCCCCCTACAGATAAGAGTTATGCAATTTGGGAGTCTTTTAGATAGACCCACCGATGGGGTACCCCAATTGCCTCACCCTGCATCCCTGTTCAACATCGAAGAAGCCAGAGCAGTCTGCATCCCAATTCCCTATCCGCAAGCTGGGTAACCCCTTCAGAGGATGGTGAGATAAAAACAGGAGGTAGGAATTGGCTAGGCAGTTAGTATAAAAAGACCCCAAAGAAAAGTAGCCAGCTTCTTAGCTAAAAGTCACAATGTCCTTGGGCCTCTTAGCAACATACTCTGTTCCAAAGGCCAAAAATGTTCAAAGTATTTGGGAGCTCTTATCTAATCCTTAAAAGATTTTAGGGCTACCTCTTCAGAGTAGCAAAAAGGCCCATAAAAAAGGAGGAAGAAGAAGGAAGAGGAGGAGGAAGAGGAAGAGATGAAGTTATCAGAAAAAAGTGATGGGGAGATATGGAAAGGGTTGGAGGGGAGGGAGTGGGCATGGATTTGATCAAACATCTTATATCCCTGTATGAAATTCTCAATAAATTATTGAAAAAAAAAAAAAAGACCAGAGCTATCTTCAGAGCTTCATTCATTCAGGACCAAATCAATGGATGGAAACTACCACTAAGGAAATATTAACTATGAGGCTAAACATTCACATACACATTTTCCCATCTGGGCCACTTAAGATCTTATTCTCTCCTCTTTTTTTAATTTTATTTATTATTTTTATTTTATGTGTATGTGTGTATTGCCTGCACATAGGTAAGTGCACCCATGTCGTGCAATACCCACGGAGGTCAGAAGAGGCTGTCAGATCCCCTGAGACTGGAGTTACAGTTGTTAGCTGCCATGTGGGTGCTGGGATTCGAACCCGGGTGTCCTGCAAGAACAACCAGTGTTCTTAACCTCTGAGCCATCTCTCCAGCCCCAGATCTAATTCTCTTACACCAGTATTTCTCAAGCCCCTTCCCAATTTTTATTCTGTTACCAATTATACTTAATTCAAGGCCTTTCTTTAAACTGACTCATCATTTTACTTAAATAAATTTAGCTTTAATGAAGCAACAATTCTGAGCTAAATCTTTTTTGTTAGGGATTAAAATATATACATAACTCCTGCTTAATGTTCATCCGGCTACCACTAAATCACTCATGTATCACCTGGGGAAAGCACTACCATTTCACTTCCAGGTACATATCAACAAAGCTCAGGAGTGGTCCACACTGAACACATAAACTATAATTTTCAACTTTACCCACTCCAAAATGCCAATTTTTTTCACATTTTCATATCTACAGTACATTTTAAAATATATCAGAATGCACATCAAGGATTTTGTTGTACTCTGGTTATACGGCATAATCAATGACATCCTCAAGTCAAAGCTGATAAATGAACTCAAGATTTACAGGATAATGTAAGAACACAGTCCTTAAATGTAATGCACAACTGACTCTCTCTTCCAAACCACAAAGATATCCAAGATTCACCCATTCTAAAATACCAGAATTTCCCCAATTCTCCATGCATTTGTAAATGCTGTTCCATCTTAGGACCGCTCCCCCTCCTCACCAACTATACTCTGTCAGAAGAGTGCTCAAATTCTGTCTCCCAGAGGCAAACACACACATTCCATTCTGATTATCCTCTTGGTAGAGCATTAGGTACAAAGAACACATGTAGTATGTAGTTGCTGAAGAACACACACTAGCTTTTTTTCCTAATGCCCCTTCTCTGAAGTTACCTTTAGTGTTCACAGTGGCAATGCATTTTGTAGTCCTCACATCCCAGATACGGATGGTTTTATCTCCAGATGCAGTGACAAAGAGGTCAGGATTGCTTGGATGCCAACAAAGCTGATCCACACTATCTCCATGTCCGCGATAGTTGTTTTCTTTGACCTTAAAAGAACAAGAATCCAGATGTCATTCCATAGAGGTGCAACTTAACTCTATTCAAATGAATACCTGAGATCAGCAAAGATCTGGATAATCCAAAAGAATCCAGTCCTTTCCCCCAAAACTCTCTCTTCTCCCCTCTTCAGTCACTGAACTGCTCTGAGCTTCAGCATCAGCACTTACTCTTGCCCTCCCTGGCGTCCCTTCTCTCTTGCTTTCCTCTTTTGCTCTACCACCATCTCAATCCACCTGTCCCTTCCCAAAGGAGGCGCTATCACTTAAAGAAAGCCTCCTCACCACCCTAGTGACTCCACTACTCCATCTACCTACCCCTAGCCACTCCTTGCCACACCACCCCTGCCCGCCCATCATCTCAGCTCATCAGTCTTCAACCTCTCCTGGCCCGCAGCCCCCATCACCCCCTCTTTACTACCACGCCCTTCGGCCCTTCACACTCCGCTCACCACCAGGCGCTCACCACCAGGCGGCCTCTCTTCACCTGTTCCTACCTCCAGGGCCCCATCCCACTCCCCCCCATCCCAACTCTTCTTGCCCGCACCACACTGCCTCACTACCGCCCCCGACAGGTGACTCTTGACTCTTCCGCCCTCCTTCATCACACCACTGCCCCTCTTCCTCGCCAGCGCCCGACCCCAGCTCACCAGCCGGTCCTTCTCCAGCAAGAACACGCTAGCAGTCTTGTCGAAGGACCCCGAGGCCAAGCGCCGCCCGTCGCAGCTCCAGGCCACCGAGTGCACCTTGGCACTGTGCGCCGGGAACTCACGCGTCTTGCTGTGACCTCGGAACAGCTCCTGCATGCCTAGCACGTAGCGCGAAGGGCCGCTGCTCACCAAACACCAGGGCGCCATCGAGCCCGGGCTCGTTTGGCCGAGTGTCGAGGGTCCGAGGGAAGCTGTGGGCGCCGCCATGACTGAAGGACCGCGCGCTAGTAGCAGAGGCTGAACGGGTCCAGGCGCCGCCGCCGGGCGCGCAGGTTACGGGAAGAAGGCCAGCGTCGCTCCGCGCAGGCGCACCGTACAGCCTCGGAAAGGACTGCAAATCCCGGCATGCAGCGCGCCTTTGCCTTTGCCTTTTCAAATAGTCCGTAAGTTTGCTGTGTATTGGAAGATTCCAGCCTTTTTTTATGGTCTTCTTACCTGCGTCTTGGGATTCTCGTTTATTCGAAGAGAACCAAGGTTAAGCCTCCAGTTTATCCAGCAGTAAAATACCTTTCTTCTACAGTTGTTTCTCCAAGGCCCTCTTCCCTCCGTATAGCAAAGGTCATTTATAACAAGCGCTTGTCCCAGGAGAAAGGTTGGCTGTGGGATGAAGTAGAAGGAGCGGAGTAGAAGTCTGGGTTTGTTGATTTGGGTGTTTTGTTTCGTTTGGGGTTTTGTTTCTTTTTAACTTTAAATCTTGTTTTTTTAAAAGACTGCATAAGCATGATTGTAAATGCATTAAAAAATATATATACAGTGAGCCTGGCGTGGTGGCGCACGCCTTTAATCCCAGCGCTGGGGAGGCAGAGGCAGACAGATCTCTGTGAGTTCAAGACCAGCCTGGGCTACATAGAGAGTTCCAGGCCAACTGGGGCTGCAGGAAGACCCTGTCTCAAAAAGACTATATACATAGTGAAAGTAAAATGTCTATTTGCGCATGCCGATGCGCGCGCGCGCGCGCGCACACACACACACACTCACCTCAGGTTCTCCCATTCTCCCACTTCTCGTATCTCCCTTAAACCAGATGTCTAGCTGGAAAAGAACCGGTAATGAATTGCCAGCATGAGCCAAGGTGCTGGAGAAGAGCTGTGAACGCAGGACGTGGGGGGGCGAGGGATAGGAGTATGAAAATGTCCTAGCCCTTTATGGTGGCACAAACTTGTAATTCCAGCACTGGGAAGGCAGACAGGAAGATCCCTAGTACTCACTGGCCAGCCAGCTTAACCTACTTGGCAAGTCCCAGGTTAGTGAGAGACCCTGAGTCAAAAGGTGGTTGTGATGATGCATACATTTAATCCTAGCATTCAGGAAACAAAGGCAGGTAGAACTCTGGCCTAATACTCATAGAAAGATTTGGGTACCCTTTGACCTGTCTCCCTATGAGCCCAGAATTATTTTTATGCCAAAGCCAAACAAGGTACTACAAGCAAATAAAACTAGATGCCCCGGGCAAGATGACACCCTAGAAGCTGCCTTCTTGTGATGTGGTGAATGAAGAGTCAAGATAGAGATTGAAAGAATAGGGTTGGAGAACTGGCTCAGCGGTTAAGAACACTTGCTGTTCTTCCAGAGGACTCAGGTTCGATTCCCAGCATCCACAGTGCAGCTAACAACCGTCCATAACTCCAGTTCCAGGGGATATGACTCCCTCTTCTGACCTCTGCAGGCATTGCATGTATATGGTGCACTTACATACATGCAAGCAAAATACTCATACACAGAAAATAAAAATAATAAATTTTTTTAAAAGATTGAAAGAACATCAAGAAAATCACAGGGCAGGCAGGCAGATTGAACAGCTGAAAAGTGTGGAGAAACAAAAGGGTGACACAGCAAAAAGGAAGAAAAAGAGCCAAGCTCAAGCCTTGGCTCTTCTGTAGAGGGATGGGAATCAAAAACCTCATCCAAAAGTTTAGCAAGCAGCCCTACTCACAGGACAGTCCCTTAGTACTCAAACTTTGAGTCCAGTTGGGGGTTGTGATGAGACAACTCCTCTAACATAATAGGTCAGGAGTGGAAAAGATGCCTATTTTGTTGTTTTCCCATGTCTCTGAGGACTGTGGCCAGGTACTCTCTTGAGAGGGAACTTATTAATACTGAGATACCCTGGGGACCTGACAATAAGACACAACCACAAATCAGGAATCCTGTAGTCAACCAACCACAACCAAGGTTGGAGACTGTGGGTCTCTCTTCCCTCGTGGGTTGGTGGCCACCCATCCACAAGAACAAAGGGAGCAGAAGCGATGAACACGGTCAGGACAACAGAAGTCAGGGAGTTGTAGAGAATATATAGGGTGAGGACGGCAGCCAAAGTTTTACCTGATAGGTGTTCATAGTCTGCTTTATTTACATGTGGTAGGAGGACCCTATCATATAGAAAGGGGAGGTGGGACTGACTGGCTATAGTGCAATGGCTAATTATCATATGGGGAAAACCAGAGGCAGCATTTGCAGGGAACTATGTCAAATGTCATGTTCCAAATAAGGTCAGTCATCTGTGCTTGGAGACACTTTCCAAATAAGGTCAGACAGAGAGTAGGAAGCCCCTGCTGAGAAAGGGAGTCCTCCATTTTGAGCACAGCTCAGAGACCTGTCTGGACATGGTGGACTACTACCTTAGTGGCAGGGTCCCCCAACAGGAGACAACTATGGAGAGGGAAAGGACCAGACATAGGCATGCTGAGAAATTCAGGCAGCATGCAACTCAGTAAGTGAAGGCATGGTGGTGATAGTCCTAACCTCTGTGACTAGGAACTAGCCCTGTAATCTGAGGATGACTGGAATGTGATAGCCCCAAACCTGAGGTCAGCTAGTGGATCAGCCTCTGAACCCCTATCTGCCATGAGAGTCACTGCTGGTAGAACAAAGAACTCTGACATTCCAGTTGAGTAATTGAGCTCCACGGCTTCATGCCTCAAGTAAGGTATTGAATACTGAGTGGGTTTTGAAAGCATAAACACTGGCCTTTCTATACAGATTTTAGTTCTCTTTCCTCCCTCAACAAATTGGTATACAGCCTTTGGCTAGAATATTAGTCACCCCCAGAGTGCATAAACTGGAGAATCTGAGAGTGAAGAAGTACTTGCTCCATCTCCATAGGCTAAGCTTGGTCAACAGAGGATGCTACTCTACAAAGAGTAGAAGTTGATCAAAGGAAAACAGCTCTTTTAGACAACTGCTATTTGACAAGTCCAAGTTCAGCATCTACCTAAATGGTAGGAAATATAAGAAACACCAGCTTCAACTGACCACAGCCCTCTCCCTGGCAGACTCTGATTTTAAAGGACTCAGAGAGAAATGCTTCATTGTTTGGGATTGGGGCTCCTCCTCCTCCTCTTCCTCCTCCTCCCCCGCCCCCTCC